GGTGGCAATTCTACTAGGTATATTGATCATCCCCCTCAATATTTTTACACGTTAAATTTGCAAAACTATCTCATGTTATGTTTAAGTGTAGTCAAAGTGGTTACTCATTAGTGTGATTCTATGAAACTCAAATTTATAAATTACTAGTTGATGGTTATTCTTGCAATTTACGGGTTGAGGTATAACATGTGGGTTATGATGTGATGATTAGGAATTAATGAGTTGAAGGAAAAAGGGTAAGTATTAATGGGGTGTACTGTGTAGTGCTTGAAAACAATCATAAGATAAGTATGGGGGAGTTTGATAGGGTGTAAAAACACTCTTGTCATCTAATTTTGTATGTCTAAAAGGAAATGATTACTACTTAATCGACTTGTTTTATCCATTTGGATGCAGTTTAGGAATTGGAGCCTAAAGCCTGAAAGAATAGCAGAAAGCAAGAGCAAAAACTACAGGACTACCATCTATCACGGTCTTAGCTTTGGTCAAGGCTAAAACCCCATAGTAGCAGCGTGCATTGGCCCACGTACACAACCCTTACCAGAGGCACGCATCTCGACCTGCAGTGTGCTAAAAGAAAAGGTAAAATTTTTAAAATTTGAGAAGATATCCTCTCTGCCAAGATTTAGGGGCTGAAAATCATGAGGAAATCATTCTAGAAAGATAAGGACAAACTTGAATCAAGTAGAGAGATGTGAAATGAAGGGAAAAAAAAGAAAAGAAAACTCTACAATTTGCTCAACATTAAAGGGAGCAGTTGTTAAAATAGAAGGATCATCTCTCTTCTTCTCGATGCCACACATAGTAGCTTCTGTTACTTCTACAATTTTTTCTCCTTCATTTTTCTTCTTCTCTTTACTCTCCAAGAACTCATTTCTGATAAAAAGTCTACCATGTATGGTTGATTTATTTTTTTTTTCCTAATTGATCGATCTAGAAAAATTCAATAATGTACTTGTGAGATCTAATCAAATTAATTTGAGTCTTATTTTAGAGCTGATATTTATTTACTTCCTGCACGTATATATATTTTTTGTTTTGAACCCGTTTAAACAGGACCTATTATACGAGAAGAGAAACAGCAAGTAGCTAGTTGAACTCCTCCAAGTTGTAATTGTTTGAGCGATTCTGGCACCTAATAGCAATCAATGTCCACTGAGGAGGCAAGTCATCTAGTTATTTGGTTCACGATGATGAATCTGCCAACTTGAATTGAGTCTTTCTAGCTCTCAAGGTCATTGACAAGTTAAATCATATTGATGTTCTTAGGATTGCTTGGCAGTAAAGAACAACCTAACGTACATTTATCAATTGATTTAAGAATAAGGAATGATTAGTTATCGGAACATTTTCGACAGCTGTAACTGATTTGCCATAGTTTAGGTAAAATAAATCCTTACATTTATGATCAACTACGTTACTAGAGATAGCTATTTCGTTAACTAAGAACCCTTTCGTAATTGTTATAGTTTCTAACTTGCAGCCAATAGTTTGTTTAATATTATTCAGCTTATATTTTTATGTATTGAGTTATACAAAATTCTCCCATTTCTTTACTTTTTATTGGTTGGTCAAGGAAAAAAATTAGTTTTCAATTCCCTGTAGATTTGACTCTTCTTATCACTACTATAATTCAGTTTTATTGGTTAATTAAGATTTTATTTTTGGTGGATTCGTCATCCATCGCATATCAATCTTCTCATTTCTCTCTCTCACACACATATAAACACTATTTTCTTTTCTCTTTCTCACTTTATCTCATTGGGCCTTCTTTATTTTTCTTTTTTGGGCCTCTTTTACACTAAGTGGGTTTTCTTTTTCAGCCTCTTTTTCTCTCAATGCACCATTCTTTTTCTTTTCAACCTCATTTCTTTCTTTTCTTTCCTTGAATATTCTTTAAAAAATTTCTTGAATCTGATATAATCAGCATTTGGAGATAGAGGTGTCAAAATATGCTTAAAACTATCTAAACGTAAAGAGTATTGATTTTTGAACCCGTCATGATGTACTATCTATCATATTGTCATGGTCGTCCAAGCAGGATATGACTATGTGTATGGAACGACATCACAACAGATCTCATCTTTATATTGGTCTATGAAGAATGGAACCTTGACTTGCTTGTTTACACTACCTTCTCCACATTCATTAAGGCAATACAGTCTATAAGGATTCGGGTGTTTAGTGCATGTTAATCCTAACTTATCAACTAGCAGGGTACTAGCAACATTGTCACAACTGCCCCCATTTATGATCAAATTGTTTATCTTCCCATTTACATGACATATGGTGTAGAAGATATTCTCTCTTTGATCGTTATATGTTTCCTTGGATTGCATATTTAGTGCTATCCTAACAACTAAGATCTCACCTTACACTGGGGCTACTAAACTGTCTTCACAACCATCTAGTGATGTTCTGCTATCACCATCACTATTATACTAACTGGAGCTTTCTATCTCACCATCATCTTGCAATAATAGGATCTTTTTATTGGGACATTGCAAAACAATGTGTCCAATTCTAAGGCACCTAAAACACTCAAGAGAACTTTACTTGTGAGTATTAATTGGTGGTTTAAGGTTACCTTTAGATTTAGTAAAGTTGGACTTGCCCCTCCTTTCTTCAAACCTCTTTCTCTCTTTTTTCTTGGGTCATCTAGAACTATACTAAGGAGTAGACTATTAATTTCCTCTAGAGGAACCTCTGTTCTTCATTGCCTCTCAATCTTCATAAACATGTGCACCATCTCTTCTAGATCTATATAGTGATGTAGCTCCACAGTATTGGCAATTTTTCAGTTTTGACCACTCAGAAATCTAGCCATGGTGGCTTATGGGCTCTTATAAACTTTGGCATTGATCATTATCATCTCCATCTCTTTATGGTAATTATCCACAAACATGGATTCCTGGGTCAATCTTTGGAGCTTCTGGTACAATTCTCTATAATAATAAGGTGGAACAAATATTTTTCTCATGATAGACTTCATCTCTCTCCAGGTGGATACAAGTTGGTCTCCATCTCTTCTCCTAAGGGTGATCACTTGATCCTACCAAATAAGTGCATAATCTGTTAACTCAACTACTACTAGCTTCACTTTTTTAGCTTCATTGTGGTTATGGCAGTCAAAGATCAACTCTACCTTCGATTCCTACTCAAGAAAGGTCTATGCATTATTCCTACCTCTAAAAGAGGGTATCTACATCTTGATGAACCTAATCTCATAATATTCCCTTCGGACTTCTCTTATGTCGGCCTCACTATTGTCTCTATACGACTCATCATTATCTTGGCGATGTCAGTGTCTGGGATGGTTACAGTTCCTTTCTCCATTTCTATAATCCATCTCTATTGTTATGCCTTCAATGGCTAAGCTCAATCTATTATACATGTCATCCATCCTAGCCTTCATGTGTTCTTCTATGGTCTTGGGTCAGTTGCCTTCACTAGATTGTGACATATATGTGAAAAGATGTTAATGGAAAAAGAAAAAAAATCATTCCCTCACAATCACTCCTGTTTACCTCTCTATGTCTTCTTCTGCCAAGTTAAGTGTTGGAATTGGGTCTCTTGAATTAAGACAAGCAAGATTATCGTTGAGACTTTACAAAGATTTCCAAAAGAGATCTCGCTCTCTAGAAGTTCAAAAGTAAGCACACATAAGAAGAATATGTGATGTTTTATGTTTATAACTAAGTAGTTAGGATGCAATTAACTACTTAGATGCCTAATGGAACTAGAGCACTCAAGAAAGAATAAAATTAGGAGTAGAAGAAAAAAATAATAATTCTGGACATAAAGTATCAAGGATCCAGTTAACTCCTATGGATATAACAAGCATGTTATGCCTAATTATTCTACCCAATGACAATTGTGCTCTATGACTCATTTGAGTTTCTGTGATGCAGAAGTTAATGTAGAATACTTAATGCAATGTTGTAAAAATAAAATTAGGAAATCACGCACCTCTTTTTTTTTTTAATTTTGATCTAATTGTTGATTCATTTTGCTTGGATTGACACTTGATTCAGGAATTTGCTATCTTAGGAATTTCTTTTTTGTTATCTCTTTTTTTTTCTCTTTATTCTCTTTTTTTCTTGCTCTCTATTTTTTTCACATATTCTATTTTTTTTCACATAATCTCTCCCTTTTTTTCACATAATCTCTCCTTTTTTTAATTATAATAACAACATTAAAAAAATTATTGAAAAGAAACTAAATGAATTAGCATTTTATAAAACGAATGCTAATTTTAGGCAAAAAAATAAATATAAATAGTAAATCAAAAAGATATTAGATTTACCTGAGCCTAAGGTCTAAAACTAACTGATACAGAATCCAGGATCAACAACGCAATCCAAAATCCTGCATGTACATCAGCAAGCAAAAACTCAAAACTCTAAATCAACCCTCCCTACTTAACCCGCACTAAATAAGGGAGGTAAAACCTAGGTTATAGGGAAAGAAACAAAAAAGTAGAATTGAAAGGATGCCATGAGATTTACCTCGATAAGTGATTCCAATTCCTAATACAACAAACTAGTCGAAGACTCACTTACTCATTCTTGAAAGCTTAGAAGCTTTAAAGTAAGAATATCTGAATTTTATTAATAATCTGAATTGTGTTTGCATAAAGGGGTGGTGGTCTCTATTTATAGGGTTGGCCATCTTTATTTTACTTAAACTAAGAAATAAGAATCCTAAATATAATTCTTAATTCTAATCTCAATAAAATTATGAAACTTAATTTAATTAAACTTAAAAAAAAATTATGTATTAAATTACTTTCTCCCTAGGCAGCTAGACTCCCATTTAGATTCCTTCTTTAAACTTCTTTTAGGTCTTGTATTTTTACTCTTTTTCCTTTCACTTTTTACAATAGTAACAGACAGAATTGGCCTTCCATAATTATGAAAGTTGACTCTTCTTCACCTTGGTCAAACTTCTTCTTCTTCATGCATACGGTCTTCTTCTTTTTTACTCCTCTCAATTTTCTTCTTATACTTATCTTAGGTGTTCTTCTCTTCATCTACTGGTGGCTGAGTAAAGGTCTCCTTCCTTGATGCAGATATGTAATTACATTAAAACTGCAAGGTGGTTTGCTTCAACGAGTGATCCTCTTTGGATTGAAGGTGTTCTTACTTGCATGTTTGTCTTCTTCTTTTGTGCCTTTTTTTCTGTTTGCTGCAATGTTTTTCTTGACTATTTTTTTCTCTATTTTGCTTCCATTTTGTAGGTCAGTTGGAGTCCACTGAGATGCTTCAAGCCTCTTCAAAGAGAAAACACAGCTCGTAATGGCTAGGTGACGGTGATTCCTGTGCAGGTGCGCGACATGGTGTTTCCTCCTTGCCCATGTTCTTCCCAAACCAGAACCAGATATTTTCAAGGCTCTTCTTGCATTTTTGGACCTATTGTTACAGCTTCTTGAGACTCAAAATCAATCCCTTGGGTAGTCCAACTTCGGATGAGAAGATTGAAAGCTTTTTGGAAGCTTTTAGCACGGGCTCGGGTGATACGTCCCTCTGGGACTTGAATCATTCTTCCTGCTTCTCTACAACTATCTTCTTCGTCTTTCATGTAAGCATCCTTCCTTGTGTCTCTTGTGTTTAGGTTTACATCACCTAGTCTTGGAGATTCCTGTTGATAGATATATTCCAATGGTTGGGGAAGTTGGGATCAATAGCATCTTTAACCAGCATATTTTTGTCACTAGAAATAGCATAATTAAGAAAAAATCTTACAAAGAAGCTAACTATGTCTTGCCATCTATCAGTCCATAAATGAATTTTCTGGCCATTGCTAACACACCATCTGGAATTATGGAGAATGAGAGTTTTAAGTTGTCAAATAGCTTTCCAGAGGGTAGTCCCATATATACCATTCTTGATTTTAGACATGTCACCATTTCCACCATTGATCCATTTGCACAAGATAACTGTTTTCCATAGACTGTTACTTTCATTCCAAAACCTTCAAATCCATTTCCCAAGAAGTGCTTTGTTAATCATGGTAATAGATCTTAGACACAAACCTCCCTTCTTGAGGGGTTTTTTTATTTCATTCCAATTTACTAAATAGAGTTTCTTGTTGGATCCGTCATCTCCCCATAGAAAATTCCTTTGTATGGCTTCCAGCTTGTTTGCAATATTAGTAGGGATATTGAGCACACTTAAGTAGCATATTCGAATGTTAGAGAGGGTGCTATTTATTAACGTCAGTCTATCCCATTTTGATAGCAATTATTTTTCCAATTTGATAACCTATTCTGGAACATATTGATGATGGGATCCCAATATTCTTTGTCTTTAAATTTGGCACCAAATGGTATCCCGAGATAGGTGATAGGCAATTCAGAGAGCTTGCACCCCAGAACTTGAGCTAATCCATTACCAGAGTTCTCCCCAAGTATCACTAGCTCTGATTTTTTGAGATGGATCTTAAGACCTGAAACAACTTGGAAACATAGTAAGATACATCTAAGGAAAACAAGGGAGCTAGCTTCTAGCTTGCAGCGAAAAATATGTGTAAAACATCAACATGTCCCCTCCCCTGACCAACCATGATTCCTTTGAGAAGATGCAACTCCTTAGCTTTCTCAATGAGTTTATTTAAAGCTTTCTTCATAATAATAAAAAGTAAAGGAGAGAGAGCGTCACTTTGCCTTAAACCTCTAGTAGCAATGAAAAGGTATAGGGGCCCCCATTCACAATAATAGCAAAACTAGTAGTGGATATGCAGCATTTGATCCATTGTCTCTATTTAGAACCAAATACTAATCTAAAAAGCATATAATCAATGAAGTGCCAGCTGACATGGTCAATGGCTTTTTCTATATCAAGCTTCATAGCGCGCCTTTCATATCATTTTTGAGGATTTCATCAACTGTTTCATTAGCTATCATAATAGAGTCCGCAATTTACCTTCTTGGAAGAAAAGCATGTTAACACTTCCTAATTATCTTATGCAATATTTTTAAAAGTCTTTCGACCACTGCCTTGAAGAGAAGTTTGTAAATACATTCGACAAGACTTATCGATTGGTAATCACCAATATTGGTTGGACTAGATTTTTTTGGAAATCATGATGATAAAAGTGGAATTGATTGATTTAACAAAGGATCCATGTTTGTGAAAGTCATTAAAGAACTCCATGATATCTTTTTTAAGAATATCCCCAAATGTTTGGAGAAATTTGAAATTGAAACCATCAGGTCCGGGGGCTTTGTCACCATCATAGTCATGTAGACATTCTTGTACTTCATCCTCAATAAATTTCATTTCCAGTTGAGAGCAGTCAACATTATTCAAATTATTGTAAGATAAACCATCAAGTCGAGGCTTGGAATTAATGCTCTCTGTGTAGAGTGTTTCAAAGTACTTACTAGCAGCCTCTCTCAGGCTATCGTTCCTTTTAGTAAGTATACCATTAATGGTGAGCTCTTCAACATAGTTAACTCTCCTGCAGTGATTTACTAGCATTTGGAAACATTTTGTATTTTTATCACCTTCCTTGAGCCATTTTTCTCTAGATTTCTACCTCCAAGAGATACATTATATAAGGGGAAGGACCTTTAGAAGCTCACCTTATTAGAGAAAGGGGCAACCTATCTTATTAAGAAGAAGAAAGGGAGTGAGATAGGTGACAGGTAGCTTGCTTCCAAGCCGGCTCGGCCGCGAGGAATCAAGAGATCTCTGCAGGGGTTGACTTGGATCTCGGATGACGGAAAAAGATAGCCAGAAGCGACGAGCAGTCGCGGTTCATATGTAACCAGTGTGCCAAATCAATTTTCAGAGCTTTCTTTGAGTTTTTATCAACTTGAGACAGGTTGTTGATTTCTTCTAATTTGTCAATAATTTCAATTTCTCTAATAATATCATTACTGACTTCTTCCTCTTTTTTGCCTGTTTCCTTAACCCATTTTTTAATTTCAACTTTAAGTCTAATGAGCTTGTGGACTAATCTGAAACTAGCAGTACCACTCACCTTAGTGTTGTTTCAAGTATCTGCTACTAAAACATTAAAACTGTCTAATGTGATCCATTTTTTATTCAGACAGAAAGGGATAGGGCCCCACTTTATACCATCCATAGCAAGGAGAATGGGATAATGATCAGAGATAGGCCTGGGCATCAATTTTTGAATAATGTTATCTGAAGACAACAGAATATCCGAGGAGATAAGAAATATGTCAATTCTGGAGAAAGGTTGGTCACATTGATTGCTCCATGTTCAATTTCCACCCTTTAGAGGAATATCATTGAGTTCTAAATTATTTAGAATTGAGTGAAAATCATCAATGCTATTGTCGGATTGACTGCGACACAATCTTTCACATCTCTGTAGAACCATATTAAAATCACCATCAATGATGCATTTGTTACCCCACAAACTTTTCAAATTATTCAATTCACTTTCTAACATGTTTCTCTCAATATTGTTGCCTCTACAATAAACACATGCAAAATACTAAGAATCACCATTAACAATATTAGAGAAAAGACAAGCAAGAGTGATCTCACCCTTGATTATGTTCTGGAACCAGACTCTATCTACCCTTCACATAATCAGAATACCACCAGCGGTACCTTTGGCTAACAGGAAGTTCCATCCGATTTCATTACCCCTCCAGAGGCTTTTAATGTGCTTCACACTGATTTCTTCCATCTTTGTTTTTTGGAGACAGATTATAGTTGTTTTCCAACGGCTAATACATCCTTTAAGAACTCTTTTTTTTGTCATTGATACCTCTAACATCCCAAAAAAGTATGTTGTCTATCATTTGATTGATTTAATATTTTTTTTCTTTTCCCTTACCAATCTCCTTGATTTTTTTTCTTTTTTTTTTCCTTCATAGTTGATGGAGGAATGCAATCTTCTCAATTCCTGAGTGCTTCATGTAGGCTATTTTTTTTTCCATACTTTTAACATCAGCATGTCTTTTTACCTTTCATTAACATTCTTTCTAGTTCAAAGAGTAGTGAGTGAATGTCCATGTTATATCCAAAAAAAGAAGCACCCAAAAACTCATTAATATAGAAATGTTCTTGAGGATCCATTAAGAGTAATAATCAGTGTTATTACTTTTGTTCTCATTTATAAGTCTCTCCAAAGCCGAGATTACCTCAAATAAAGTGGTATCATTCTTCTCTTGCTCAAGAGGCATGATGGGTTCTACGTTGCTCAGAATTATTTATATTCAAGAAATGGGGAGATGTTCTTCCTCTAGATTGATCGGAGAGCTGTTAAAGAAATATGTTCATTACACCATTCATTCGAGTTGAAGAAAGAAGAAGTCATGTCGCATAAGTGATGAATTTTCGTTGGCATTGTAGTTGAAAACATAGCCTTTTCCTGGGCATTGTTGTTATGCCTGACAGAATTGATTTCTCTTCTCCATTCCCATTTAACTTTCTGCATCTTCAATTTGGGGCCATTTGATTTTGGGGTTTTTGGGAGTTTGCTTAGGCCAGCTAGATTGGTCCATTTTTCTTTTCAGCACAGAAAGTTTGGGCTTCATTGGAGAGTCATATTTGGGCCTGGACCAATACTTATCCCAAAAATGTTGGTTTTTTAGGGTTTGTCTACTTGTTTGTTCTTTTTTATATTTAGAAAGACACTATTTTTTGCAAGAGTGGTACTATGTAAAGAAACCTAACAGGCAGAAAAATAAGATTAAATGATATTTAATTTTTCTCTCTTGTGAAATGTGTAATTGGTCAAGAGTACATTTATACATGTAAGAGAAAGGAAAAAATAGGAAAAAATGGTTTCTGGAATCTACCAAAACTTAAAGTCAAACACCACAACAACCAACCACTCAAAAAAGGAGAAAAAATCTTGGCCCTTCATTTTAGGTTATTAATTTAGAAGGTCCACCAACACATGTTCTTTCATTTTTTCACCCGCCCCTCAAAATGAAACTCATTAACTTTCTGACTCTTTGAGCTCCCCATTTCTTCTTGGTTGTTTGTGTTTTCTTGTTGTAGGTGCTTCATCTTGAAAAGAAGTCGATGATGTGCTGAAGTTCCTAAGGGTTTGGTGAGCAGATCCGCGAGCTGTTCTCTCGAGGTAACGTGTTTTGTTTTGATAAAACCTTTTTGTACCTGGTTGCAGACTATGTGGCAATCGATGTCTAAATGTTTTGTTCATTCATGAAAAATTGGATTTTCTGCGATGTGTTATGCGGCTTTGTTGTCATAGTTAAGTATTATGGATAAATAAGGCGTTATCTGGAAATCTCGAATGAGATAAGTGATCCACTGAACTTCACACACTGTAGAAGACATACTTCTATACTCAGCTTCTGCGGAGGACTCACTTACCATTGTCTGCTTTTTTATTTTCTAAGAGATCAACGACGACCCAAAAAAGATGCAGAAGCCCATGAGAGATTTACGAGTCATCGGGCATGATGCCCAATTTGAGTCACAAAAGGCTTGGACTTTGAAGTCATTTCTTCTCGGGAAGAAGAGGCCTTATTCCGAATACTACTTTAAGTGTCTGATGACATGGAGTGTAGTGTCGAGATGTGGCCGTCTAGGATGTTGCATGAACCCACTCAAATATTGGGTGGAGTAGGATATGTCGGGTCTGGTGAAGTTGAGGTAGAGCAGGCGGCCAATTAAACGCCTATACCTCTCTGGATCTACTAAAATTTCTCTTTGTTTTGTATTTAATTTTAGTCCAGAAGGTAAGGGAAAATGACTTCCCTTTACATCCTCCATTTCTGTATCCTATAAAATATCCTTGATGTATTTTCTTTGGCTGATGTAGATACCTTCCCTTGACTTGGCTATTTCGAACCCAGGAAAATATCTTGCTTGTCCAAGATCCTTTACTGTGAAAGCTTCATACAGGGCATGCTGAACTTTGCGGATTTCTCTATCATCAGGACCTGTAAGGATTAAGTCATCTACATACACCACAACTGCAACATAATTTCTTTTTATTCCTATTGTGAATAGACAATGATCAGCTTCTCATTTTGTGAAACTGATGGACTGGAGCCTTGAGGTGAGCTCCTTGTTCCATTGGCGTCCAGCATGCTTTAGACCATATAGGCTCTTAGTCAAACGGCATACATGTCCTTCATTGGCTTTAGAATAACCCTCCAGGGGTTTTAGATATAGCTCTTCCTCTACGAACTCGTGTAAATAAATATTTTTGATGTCTAATTGGTACATTGGCTAGTCATTTGTGGCTATTATAGCAATGAGCAATTGAACCGTGATCATTTTGGCCACCGGTGAGAAATTATCATGGTAGTCGATACCAAACTCTTGGTTGTAACTTTTGGTAACAAGTCTTGCCTTATACCTGTCAACTAAACCATTTGCATTATATTTAATTTTATATATCCATTTGGAGTCAATCGCTCTCTTTCCTTTGGGTAATACAGTTAATTCCCAAGTGTTGTTGTCTTCCAGCATAGATAATATGGCCTGCATAGTCTCAACCCACCTATTATCTTCTTTAGCATCCTTGTATGATTTTGATTCTTTTGTAATAGACACATGTGTGATGAAATTAATATAGTCATGATTGTATGCAGGTGAGGTGGACATGAGGAAGGGGGGCTCAGGTGCAGGTGGCACAGTGACATGAGCAATAAAGTCTTCCATCCAGATGGGCCTGCTTCTCACCCTGGTACTCCTACTGACTTCAGGCTCTTGGGGTGTAATGTGATGTGAGGGAATTTCTTCCCTGTTTTGTAGCTGGCTATTGAATATATCTAGTATGTTAATATTGGGTGTCAGTAACGGTGTGTTATGGTAGTCTAGTTGAGGAGGTTGTGTTTGATATGGATAAACATGTTCAATACAACATCTCTTGACAAAATTGTTTCCCTGTTTGATATGTCATATAGTTTGTGTGATTTAACACCAGTTGCATACCCTAAGAAAATGCATTTTAAGGCTCTAGCATCAAATTTATTTATTTAAGGGTAAACATTGGTAGCAAAACACGGGCAGCGAAAAACCCTTAGGGTAGAGTAATCTGGTCATTTTTTGTGCAAAACTTCATAGGGAGGTTTCCATTTTAAAACGGAGCTTGGTAAAACATTTACTATATATGTGGCTGTAAGTATCGCTTCACCTCAAAAACCTTTTGGTAAATTTGATTCAAACATAAGTGCTCTGGCAACTTGCAGTAGGTGTTTCTGTTTCCTTTCTACCACACCATTTTGTTGTAGTGTGTATGCAACAGGTTCTTTGATGCACAATGCCCTTTTCTTGAAAAATATTTTCGCATGAAGTATTTATAAATTTAATGTCATTGTCTGTCCTAATGACCTTGATTATTTTTTAAAATTGGTTTTGTATCAGGTTGCAAAAATATTTTAAAATGCTCAGTACAATTGTTTTCCCTTTTAGTGAATAACTCCACGTAGTTCATGAAAAATCATCCACTATAGTTAAAAAATAAGATGCACCATAAATGGAATTAATAAGGTAAGGACCTCAAAAATTAACATGTATCAAACTAAAGATGTCATTAGTAGTAATGGAACTTTTGGGAAAAGAGAAGTATTGTTGATTTATTAATGGGCATATTTCACAAACATATGAATCTACACTATTTGATAACTTTAGGCTGGGAACGTGAGTCATTTTTTTTTGTGGATGTGTGACCGAGTCTTTTGTGCCAAGTTGTAGGTTGTTTTCTTGGGTGTGGCTGCTGCATGCTTTATCGGGATCTATGTCTTTACTTAGGGTGTACAGGCCCTCCATTATTATTCCCTTCCTTAATATTTTGTTAGTCATTAAATCCTGCACAAAACAATGGTTGGGATAAAAGAATATGTAGGTATTTGATGTTTGGGTTAATTTTCTGACAGAAATCAGGTTGCAAGCAAACTTTAATATGTAAAGGACATCGTCTAATATTAGATCATTACACAATCTTACGGTTCCTTTGTGGGTCGAGTGACTCAAAGTTCCATTTGGTAGTGAAATAGGTATTGTGGGTTCCAACTTTACGGGTTTCGAAAGTATACCAAAATCATAGCATATATGTGATGTAGCACCTGTGTCTATTACCCAGGTACGTATATCATTAGAGGTATGTAAAAAATATCAATTAAGTTATTTACCGGTAGGGCCAGAGTAGCCCACGCACCCTGCAGATTCTATTGCATTTGTTCCTTGATTCTTCATATACTTGCTGATTTCTTAATGTATGAATGTGGCTATTTTGGTGCCCCATTTTGTTTTGGATGCTTCAGTTTTGGTACCATCTGGGATATTATTTGCTAATGTATTTGCTTTCTCTTTGTTTTTTTTCCCTTTGAGTTATGCGAACCATTCTGGGTAGCCGTGGAGTTTAAAACATGTGCCTCTTGTGTGCCCTGTATTTTTGCAATAAATATATATTTCGTTATCCCTTTCTTTCTTTTGGTTTGGAAGTTTTGGATTGTCTTTCAAACTGGCATAACATGCAATGGGCATCCCTTCAAGTAGATTGATGTTGTGTATTTCTCTTTGTTTTTTAACACTAATCACCATGGAATAAGCTTTGTTGACAGCAAGTAGGGGTTCCATGATCAATATTTAGTTTCTAACATGGTCATATGAGTCATTGAGACCCATTAGGAATTGGATCAGGTTATCAGTGTTATCAATCTCATTATGTTGTGTTGCAGCATGACAAGTATAGGCCTTAGGTGAGTCAGCTCATCCCATAGCCTTTTTAGTTTAGTATAATAGGCTGTGACATAAAGATTTGACTACATTTTAACTAATACAGCAGAGGTTTGTTACTTTCTATATACCCTTCTTTTATTTCATCCCACAAGTTCTTTGCGGATGTAGTGTATAGGAAAGCACTGGCCAGCTCCTTGTTCATCAAGCTGAGAATTCAGGATACCACCATGCTCTCTATTTTGTGCCATGGTTCATACTCCACTGCATCAAGTTTGGGTTTTTGTATATGCCATCAACAAGAACAACTTTATCATTTGCTCTTAATGCAATCACCATAGCTCGACTCCAAGACAGATAGCTGGAGCCATCAAGAGTAGTTGTAACAAGTTGCATTCTGGGTTGATCCAAGTTTAGAAGAGTTAGCACATCTGTATTAGGGTTTGCCATTAAAGGTAGATTAATGATGTACAGTATTGTAACAAAAACAAAACAGTGCTTAGCAAAGGCACTGCTTTGATACCATGTAAAGAAACCCAACGGGTAGAAAAATCGGATTAAATGATATTTAATTTTTCTCTCTTGTGAAATGTGTAATTGGTCATGAGTACATTTATACATGTAGGGGAAAGGAGAAAACCGGAAAAAATGGTTTTTGAAATCTACCGAAACCTACAGTTGTACACCACAATAACCAACCACTCAAAAAAGGAGAAAAAATCCTAGCCCTTCATTTTAGGTTATTAATTTGGACGATCCACCAACACATGTTCTTTTTCTTTCATACTGATACCACTGCAAAGGGATTTCGAATTTTAAAATTTTTAAGAAGAGAAGTCGAGTCGGGTGGCTTTGCCGAACACAACAAGGGGTTCGAGTTATGATTGCTCAGAGCAGCGACAAAGGTTTTCTTCTCTGTTGACATAAATGAGTCATTGAAAGAGCTGTTACAGTTAGGGCAACAAAAAAATGCCAATCTGGTGCATGGGGAAACCTCACCATTATAGGGTTTGAGAATGGGAGTAGCCTCACTAGATTTCAGAGAAAATGGGTTCGATAATGGGGTCTCTGTAAGTTCAAAGATGGTTTTCATGAAGCGCCACCATCCACTCATCTCAAATTTCCTTTTTTAAAAAAAAAAAGACAAGGGCTCTCCTCGTCTGGTCAAGATTAGAGCGAAAACAGTCGGTGATATCGACCTCTGGTGTTGGTACCCCATGAAAAACCACCTTTATTCTAGTAAAAATCATTAAGGGCATCCACAATCTAAGAAACTTCAACCTTGTTGAGGGATATTGATATTTTGTTTCCTCGTTTGTTATCACATATTCTAATGTCTTCCAACTTCTTACCCTCGCAACAAATGTCGTATGATTTATGTCCTATTAGCACAAAGTGTTTAGTGTCTGGAGGTATCATGATTCTAGAGAAGGGCTCGTGGCTTGATCGGCCCAATGGCTGACCCCGGTCCTTAGAGTGAGACATTAATGCCTCAGTGTTGGAGCGAGTAGAAATGGACGGAAGAGAGAGATGCGAGGGAGATGCACGAGGAAATAGAACAGGGAAAAAAGAATTTTAGAGAGAGAAAGTTTTAGAGAGAGAGTTCTGAGTCTAATTCTTCAAAACTAACTACAATCTACCATATCTCTTTGTGTATGCTTATAAAAAAAATTATTACTTAAAGTAAAGCTACTACAGTTCAATAGTTTATATTGATCTTCTTGGGAAGAGATTTACCAGTACTTCCACTGATGTACCCTCTCAGCATAAGTATATCATAAATCTTCTCGTTCGCTCAAATATTACAATGGCCAAATCTGTCACCATTCCACTTGCCACCGAGTCAACACTTATAATTTTTTTCAGTACTTCTTTAACAGATCCTTCTAAATATATAATAGTTGTTGGAAGTCTCCAGGACTGTGTCTCACTCCCATTGATAAGATGTCTCAATTCATGCATCGACGTATTACTGATCATTAGAATGTTGTCAAGCGCTTGCTTCATTATCTTTATAATACAACTAATCATAGTCTTACCTTGCATCGTGACATGTCTCTTTCGCTTTATGCCTTCTCAGATGTTGACTATGCATATAATGAGGATGACTACACATCCACTAGTGTTTATATCTGTAAGTGCTTATATTTTTTACCTCCGTTGCAATGTCATATACTGGTCCTCCAAGAAACAATGCACGGTTACATGATCCTCTAGTAAAGCTCAATATTTTCCTGTTACTGCTACAATTGCCAAGTTATATTGAATTTTTTCTCTTATAACTGAGTTTGCCATTTGTGTTCCTGCGGCTCTAGTTATCTATTGTGATAATGTTGGTCCAATTCATGTTTGTTTCAATCATGTCTTCTATTTACGGATAAAGCATGTTGTAATTGGTTATTATTTTATTCAGGGTCAAGTCCAAAGTAGAGTTTTACATGTCATCTATATGTCCTCAAAAAATCAATTAGTAGATGTCTTGACCAAGCCTCTTCCACATACTCGCTTTCAACTTTTGAAGATCAAGATTTGATCTCCACAGGAGCTTCATCTTGAGGGGCATATTAAACAAAATAAATGTGCATTTTCGTAATTGTTATAAAAATTTAATTGAGAAAAAATCTTATAAATTAGATAATTAGGTAGAATTAGAATATTTGATTGATAATTAATCTCATCTTATACATATATATATACCTCAACTTTATTTAACGAAAATCAAGTCATTACCTCAAGAAAGGTCACATTACTCACTACCTCCAATATTAAAAGCTTGCAGCATTTAACTCTTCATCATAGGGAAGGGATGTCAAATCTATAGTTACCTTTTGCTAATCTGAAATCAATTGGAATTATTGGAGATTGATTGTAAGAACGAATCCTAATAATTAAAATTAAACAGATAATTTTTATAAAGATAATTCAAGATAACTTTAATTTTCCTTTTGCAATATATGTTGTGGTAGCTAATGGGTCATCCATCAAATCTAACATAGGAAGGTCTAACTTGTCAGTATAAGATGCATGTGTTTTTGTTATATGGACTGACTGTGTATATCAGGAAAAAAAATTCTTTAGAAATTATTAGTTATTAAGAAAATGTTCAAATAAATAAAATTGAAATAATAAGATAAGCTTATGGAATGATTGGTCATATATCCATGACAATATGTAGTATTCATGACTAATATATATTACAAAAGACTGATACATCTGATGTCAAAAGTTGTCTTACGCCTACGCTTGTAACTATAATGTTGTCTAAAACTTAAAATTATCAATTAGTTAGGCAAAAACATGCAGACACATAAATATAGGTGTGCCTTCTTAATTTCATGTTTAAGATTAAAAGGAAAATAAAATAGAACACGAATCTAGGGATATAAGGGGGAGTCTATTGAAAATCTATACTGGATTAAAATACTTTATGACAGAAATTCCTTTTAGAAATGAAAAGCTATACAAATTTTAAACTCCTAACATGTGTGTTCTTTAAAATCTAAAAAGAATAAAATAAAAACACAACGAATAATAAAACAATAATTAAAAATATGGACAATGCAATGAAAGAGGGCAGAAGTGAGCGGAGTGGCTGATACGCGCCCCTCTCATGAAGACTCAAGTTTTCTTTAAAATTCTTTTTAAAAATAAATTCATTTCTAAAGAGAATAAAAAATATAGAGAAAGGATAGTATGTAACTTGTTTTTCAAGTAACTAATATCTCTCGAGCATTACTTGGTTTCTTATTACTCTTTGAGGTTGTTGTGTATTCCACATATAAGAAAAAAGAGTTTTCTTCAACTTCGTGTTCCATCTTTGACAACATAATTCCAAATGAGAGGATATTTGTAAGAGCTTTGCTCTTTTTCTTTCTAAGAATCCCTCTTTTTTCTAAAGAGGATAAATTATTTATATAGTCCAAGGTGATGAGAGTTAGTTAAATATTATTTAGGGCAATTTCCTCTTTTACAACTGTTATTATAGGCAATTTCCATTCGTTCATTGTTATTATATGCTATTTCTTTCTTTTTTTCACTCATAATTATTTTAAACATTTTTCATATTTTAGTATTACCAATTTAGAGATCCATGCTTGAGCAAGGCTTTTTTCCCTTTATTTTCTTTTCCTTTTTGATAGCTTTTATTAAAATCACTAGATTCTACTTGGGCATATGTCTGCCAAAATAAACACATACCTACCACATCATATAGGCACCTATCATACATGAAATGATATTATAACTATCAGCTTGACCTATTACTAGGTTTTTACTTTTTTCCTCATGTTTGTGCCCTTGGAATACACTTGACTTCAAAGCGTAAAACATCCTTGATTCTAATTGTAGGACCTCCAGTATCCACCATAAGTGTCTAATGTAAACCTTAAAACTTAATGTTTATTTTTAGTGTTAACTGTTATTTCATGTTTCTCACCAACATTGTTTTTCCTTTCTACATCATGTATGTGGAAATACATATTACACTTTAGCTCTTACATAACTAGCACTCTGGTGTTTATGGAATAACTTACATCTAATTTATATTTTGATGTAAATAAGAAGAATGAGTGAATTTTATAACTATTAGTGGGTATAATGTAAAAAGGTAGGACTGCACTTGGGCAAAAGATTTAACAAAAGGGTTTAATGACATTTTTTCCCTAGAAATAGAGGCTATAAAAACATTTAGTTGTTCAAAATTTAAACTAAAAGTAGAATCGAGAAGGAGAAACCTAGGGGAAAATAAAACCAAAAAGATGAGAATATCAAGATGATGATGAAGAAATAGAGGTAGAGATAATAGATAGCAGATTTAGTGTTGTATAATCATTAAGTACATTTGTGTAAATATGTTTCAAGCATGTCATAATAGGTCATGACTTGAGCTATAAAAACATAAGCAGATGCAACTCGTATTAAAAATATTAACTAAAGAAAATTGTGAAACTTGTTGTCTTATGACCTTTTTAAATCAACATATTCTTCTTGTCACCCTTCTCAGTTCAAGGTTCCATAAACCTTAATTAATATATATGTTTTTGATGAATTAATATATATTAGTATGTAATAATTAATCGTACACAAAAGGTTTTTCATATCACAATGATTATAATGAAAATAAATTTTTTAT